ATTTGTAAATTGATAAGAAAAAATATTTAATTAAAATATAATAAATTTATTTTTAAATCTTAATATTATAGTATATAAAATTTTAAAAATATAATTTAAAATAATAGTTATTAGATTTAATATTATTAATAACAATTTTGACAAGAACAAGTAATCCTCTACACTAACTTTTTTTATATATATTGATTTATAAATATTATATAGTTAGTATGTTTATATTTAACAAAGCTTTAATATATAGTATTTAGGATTAAAAATTTCAAATTGCATATAAGTAATATAAAAAAGAGTTTAAAAAAACAACTCTTTATAAGTTTGGCTTTTTGGTAGAAGTCTATAAAGTTATTAAAAAAGTAACTTTGGCTACAATTCTAAAAATGTTTATCAAACTATATATGAGCAATAATGAAGATAAAAGCCTAGTTGAATATATTATTTTATATAACATAAACTCCTATAATCAATACAGTTAATACATTAAAAAATTTTCTTTTTATTTTTCTTTTAAAAATTTTTGATTGAAAAATAGACAATCTGGTTTATTTTTATCAAAATCAGCATTATTGATCCTTCTAAATCAGGATTGTTTATCAGTTCTATTTTGAAAAAGTCTGTGTTATAGATAAAACATGAGTATATATATTTTAAAAAAAATATAACAATAAGATAATATTGAAGATTTTTGACAAAAAATAAAATAATTGATCAAAAATATAATAAGTATCAAAATGTAAGATTTGGTGAAAAGCATAATAAATTATATATAAAAATAAATTTAGTGACAAGAAGTCAAATATTTAACATATAAAAAATTCTTTGTTAGTTCAGTGTTAGTTAAATTGTTTCTTTTAAAATATAAGCTTTAATATTAAATATAATAATTAGATAAAGATAAAGTAGAAATTACTGTATTTAGTAATATATAATTTTAGTAAACTTATATAATCTTTATAATTTGTGACTGTTTGTCTGACCTTGTATTAGCATTTCTCTTTTTTTTTTATTTATTAATATTTATTTTTTTATATTTTTTCCTTATATATATTTTTTAATACATTTTTTTTAATAAGAAGTTTTTTTATTTTTCTACAAATAAATAATATTAGATTGATGTTGTTCAATTGTAGGACAGTAAACAAACAAGCTTTAATTTAAACTTTAGTAGATTTGGTATAACAGATTACTTATAGGTACCAATTAGGATAACTACATGATGATAACACAAAAGTTAGATAAAGTTATATTTGTATATTGTCTATACTAAACTGTTATAAATAAACTTCTAACTGGTGATCATTGTGATTGCCAAAGATAAAAAAAAATATTATTAATAAACTTTTTAATTTATTTTATAAAATATAATATATTAGAAATGATAATATATATAATCTATATAATTATATAAGTGTAATAACCTAGTAAAGTAATCAGATTATTAATCCTCAAATAGCAGATCTAAAGTTCAAATCTTATAAATAATAAATTTTAAAAAATATATCTATATTATAGTAACTGTTTTTGTTGATTAGTTGTATTAGTATATTTGTAATTTTCAGTTACACTATCTCGAATAGAAGCTTAGAACATCTATTCAAAATATAATATTATACTATATAGAGAAATATTAATAACTGATATTATATAAGACTTTAATACAAATCTATAATAAGACCACTGGGTGCAGAAAATAAAAAACTGAAAAATCAGAAATCTACTTGAAAATTCTAAGTAAAAAGATAACACAAAACTTTTAACAATATTGTTAGACTAATAGAAGTTTATAAAACATTTCCAAAAAGATAAATGAATAAACCAGATAGTAAGATATATAGAGAAGTATATAACCAACCAGGCTATTAGAATTATTAAAGAAAAAAAATACTAAGATATACTATATCAAGTTATTAAATTAAAAGTCTAAGGAATTCTGTTAGTCTTGAGTAGTGATTAGTAAAGAATGATAAAGAAGATATCAAAAAGATAAGTATTAGAATTTTAAGTGAATCTTATAGAAGTAGGCAGTTTAATGATTAACCCTAATTGCAAGTAATGGTTTAGGTCAAAGTAATATTAGATAAGCTGTAAATATGAAATACAAAACATTCTGATAGGTTTAATACAAAGTTAAGTATAACTTAATAACTATAACATATCTTTATCAGTTTACTAAAATCATTGATAAAATGTAATGAATATGGGATCAGAATATTTAAATAGAAGATTTACAGATGGACCCTAGGTATAGCAATTAGTATAAAACCTTTAGGTAGACTACTTAAATTAGACAATAACTAAAGTTGTATAAATGGTTAATTGTATACTCTTTCTATGATTGCCTTTGTGTCTGTTATATTAACAGATGCTAGCCAATATATACTATTAATAAAATCCTAGATCACATGTACTCACCTTAACATTTAAAAAAAAAAACCTATATAATTATAAAAATCTTTCTAATATTATGTTTTAAATAATTAAATTTTTGCAAAAATAAAATTTTTATACAAAAACTTTTTACATAAAAATAAATATATGAAAGTAAAAACCTGAAAACCAATTTAATGATTTATTATGATTAATTTTCAGGTTTTCATTTTTACACACTTAGATATAAAATTTCATTTTTGACATTTTTAATTAGTGCATTAAAACCAATTTAAACACTAGTTTTTGAGTATTTTTACTTTTTCTTCTTTTACATATGTTTGAAGTTTATGTTAGACTGATTTAAAACGATCAAAATTTTCAAAGAAATAGGCCGACTGGGGTAAAATCGCCACCCAAAAAAGTTTCGAACGTCACTAACAAATATATCGAGCACTAAAAATTCGTGTAGCTTAACAAAAAAATACAAACAAAAAAATTTAAACGTTAAGTAATAAATTAATCATTTTATTTATTTCGATTTTTTACATGAATTTTTGGTCTCGATATATTTGTCACGTTATGTTCGAAACTTTTTTGGTGGCGTTCAAATAGGTCAGGAACAAATTTCACTAGTAAAATTTTGGTTAATTCCGGCTAAATATTTGATCGTCGTTATTAGCCAATCAAATACGTGATTCTGCCAGGACGCAGCAGCTAGGAAAATTTGCTGCGCCTCAAACCTGTCACAGAACTTTTGCGTTTGTTTTGAATTTTTTATGATCTTGACTTTTTATTGGCCAATTTTGGTATTCGGAAAATCATGTGTGATCCAAAACAGAAAAGTATATAAACATTTTTTTCGCGTTTTTTTTTCTTTATACTTTTCTCACTTTCACTTTAAGTGGATAGTTTTATATTATTTGAAAATTTATTTGATTATTTGAAAGAAATTGAAGATACATAAATAAAAAAGAAATGGAACAGACTCGTCATTTTAAAGCTCAGCCGCTTCCAAGTGATTCCCCAGATGTAAGCATTCTAGTATTTATTTAAAAACTTTTTCATTTTATCATATTATTTAAATATTGTAGTGCTTGCCTCCACGGCACAATTATCCTTTAACACGCCCAAAACCATTTACGTTAAAAACTGATTTGCGTGGAGAAAAATATCAACATTCATTCCGTGAGAGATTAAGAGAGTTGAGTGACCGAGAAAAAGAAAATCAATTTCGCGCTCAGCCTGTTCCAAGTTTTGATCCAGAAATTCCAAAAAAGCCAGTTGTTCCACCGCCAACAAAACCCGTTGAGTTTTTTTTTCTCACCGATATCCGTTTGGAAGAACGCAAAATATTCGATGAGCAAAGGAAATTACGGGATATGGTCGATAATGCGCTCAAAGAACAAAAGCAAAGGGAAGAAATGGTACGTATATAAAAATACAATATTAGTAAAAGTAGTTTAAACGATCAATTTTTATTTTGATTAGATTAGGCAAAGGGAAGAAATTCGTCGCCTACGCTCTGAATTAGTACATCGTGCACAACCGATTAGGCATTTTTCGCCAATACATATTCACCCATCAAATAAGAAGCCGACAAGAGCTGTATCTCCGCTGATTGGTAGGAAACGACTAGAACTGCAATCCAAAACTTTTTTTGAGTTATGACATTACTACATAGCTAGAATTTGGCAATCGGGAATTGTATTCATTTGGGAAAATAACCAAAATTTAAATATATTCATTTTCAGTCAATAGTGTAAAGTTCAAAAAAAAATCAATTAAATTTGTTAAATCAATGTTATAAATTACTAAAAATTTGTTATTTAATAGAGATTTAGTGAGATATGTTACAATAGGTCATATAATGATTGCATCGAATATGTGCACAAGTGAAAAATAATAAAACCTTTTAATCGCACGTCCCAAGTCTGTGACAGGTTAAGCTACGATGTCAATTTCCTGTCTGACCTTTTACCTAGTGTCGATCCTAAAATCCCGGGTCAGTATTAATTTAGGTGGGCTGAGTCATACCTCAGAGGGTCCGGTTGCTTTGTACAGCAGAGACCGTTGATGTTACACGTATATTAAAACTGATGAGGGATTATATCCATCACATTGAATCCAACATAAATAATTTAATTACAGGCGAGAGAGGTTCGCTTTGGATCGGGCACTGTAGTTGCTTTGCCGGTGATCTTTTGATTTGTACTTCCGGTATTATTTCATTAGATAATCGGAGTTATGTTTTTGTGTAGCCGTAGTTGATAAATGGCCGTAGTTTAATATATCCATATTCTATTAAATTTTCGTTAACGTAAATAGGTTTAGTAACGTGATAGTTAAATTGTTGCCGTTCTATACTGCATTAGTCGATAATCTGTGCACACATTTGGTGCTTTTCCTAATACAGTCAAACCTCTCTATAGTCACACTCGTTATAAGCACATTATATAAAAACCTCTTTATAAGCACATCTAGTAAAAATTTTTTTATAAGCATACAAATATTTATTTATCCCGAGAGGTGTGATTATAGGGAGGTTGAACAGTAGTTGAAATATACGAGTTCGTTCTTTTTTAGGAAAAAACCTAAAATATTTCGTTTCTTTGGCTTTCTTTAGGCGTTTATGGATTCTCTTTTATAAGCCATTTTTGGTATTTCTTTTTTTCTTCAGAGTTGTAAGTTTTTTGGTTGATTGTTAATAAGGTTGTAATGTATTCTTCATATATTAAAATGGTTTCAAAAATTAGTGTTAAGTTTTTTTATAATTCTGGTACAAGCATTAAGTTTTTGACTTGTTTTAAGTATAGAATTTCTAAAATTCATGCTTTTTTTGACTTATTATTTAAGGATATATAAAGATAATTATTTTTAATACGTAGATATTCTTATAATTCTAAAGTGGTTCATGTTGTAATTTAGCTATTTGAACTGCATATCATTTTTCAATTTTGAGGTTAACTTTTTTAAATGTTTCTTATATTCTAGTTATTATTTTTTTTCATTTTTTTAAAATGTTTTCTAAGTAAATAATAGTATTCATAATATCTTTAAGACATATTATTTTGTAGTTTTAAAAAAATTATTTATTAGCAAATTTTATAAATATAATATTATAAAATATTTTTACAAATATAAACAAAAAGTGTAACAATTTAGTAAAATAAACAGGTTGTTAACCTTCTAGTGATATTCAAATCCTAGATGGTAAAATTTGAAAATTATATTCATGTTATAATAACTATTTCTGGTTTATTAGTTGGATTTATGTGTTTGTAATTTTAGATACATTAAGTTAGATTCTACTTAACATTGAAAGCTTAAAGCATCTATACAAAATATAATATTACATATATGTAGAGAAATGTTAAACTATTGTATAAAATTTTAGTACAAATTTATAATAATATTGTCAGATATAAAAGATTAAGAAACTGAGAAAACAAGGATGGTGATTCTAGTATAGTGATTGGGTTGTTATCCTCCAAGTGGCAAGTCTAAGATTCAAATTCTACCTACAATGAAATTTGGAAATTATATCTGCATTATAGTAACTGTCTTCTGTCAATTAGTTGGCCTCATGTGGCTATAACCTAGTTACACCAAATCAGGTCTTACCAATATTAAGAGCTTCAGATATTTATATAAAGTATAATGTTATATATATATAAAAGAATATATAACTGATATTATATAAGACTTTAGTACAAACCTATGATAAGATCATCAAGTATAGAAAACTAAGAAACCAAGATAACAGAAACTCACTTAGAAATTCCCAAATAAAGAGGTAGCATGGACTTTTGACAATACTATTAGACTGGTTGAAGTTTATAAAACACTTTCATAAGAACCAAAGATTAAACTGAATGTCAAATATATGTAGAGAAGCATATAACTAATCAGGTTACTAGATTTGTTAAAAAAAAAGAATATAAAAATATATCATATCAGGTCATCTAGATTGGTAATTTGGAAGAGACTACAAATTTTGAGTTGTGACTAATAGAAGATAATAGAAAAGATGCCAAGAAGATAGATACTAAGGTTCTAGTAAACTTTACAAAAATAGAAATAGTGTAATATAACAGTTAAACAGATAACTCTTATAACTACAAGTATTAGATAACTATAGCATATTGCATAAAACTAGGTCTATATGTATAGAACATAAAGGCTTTAGTAAGTTTTTTATCAAAAATAAAATAGTTTTAAGAGTAACAACCAGTATCGAAAACTTAGATGAGTGTAGCCTTAAAATGTTCTTATGATACAAAAAGGATTGTATATGCAGAGAGTTTAAATAGGCAAAACCTCTAGTTGGCTTGCAGATATAATAACTAGTATAGAACTTATATAGTAATATGTAAGTAAACTACTTAAATTAGACATCAAAAGTGCATATATAACTAGTTGTAATCTCCAATATATAGATAGCTCCTGAAGGCATACTGTGTCCTATAATACTTAAATAAAAATATCACATCTTCAAGACAGAGACTTTAACTATAAAAAAAAAAAAAAAAAACTAAGAAAACAAAAGTTTATTTAAAATCTTAACTAAAAAAATAGTACAAACTTTTAACAATGCTATTGAACTAATAAAAGTTTATAAATTATTTCAAAAAGATAAGTGAACAAATTAAATAACAGATATATAAAAAAAATATATATATTAACCAAATTGTCAAAATTACTAAAAGAAAAAAATATAAAATTATAATATACTAAATTATCTAAATTAGTAGTCTTGAAAGTTTTGTTAGTTTTAAGTAATGATTAGTAAAAAATAATAAAGAAAATATTAGAAAAATAAGTATTAAAGCTTAGATAAACTTTACAAAGATATAGAGTTTAATGATTAGTTTCAATTACAAATATTGGTTTTAACTATAATAGTATCAAATTAGTTATAAGTATAAAATATAAAAGGTTTTAATAAGCTTAATACATATTTAAATATTTTTTATATAAATGAACTAGTTTGAAAACTTTATAATTATAGTATATTTGCATCAATATTAATTAAAGCAGTTGGTAAAAGAGATAAGTAATAAATACAAAAACTAAATTATTTAAATAGAAAGCTTATAAATAGGTTCTATATATAGCAATTAGTATAGAACTTTTAAGTAGACTATTTAAATTAAACAATAATTAAAGTTGTATAAGTAACTAATTATATACTCTTTTCTATTAGTTAAAACATACTATCAATAAAATTTTAGATTACAAATATTGATTTTAATATTAAAAAAAATAAATATAAACAAAATATAAAAATATACAAAATTTTTTAAAAAATAAAAAATTAATAAAATATATAATATTTTAAAAAATTTCAAATAAGGAATGTAACAACTTAGTGAAGTGAATAAGTTGTTAACCTTTTAAGTAATAGTTAGTGAGTTCAAAACTTACTAACAGTGAAAATTTGAATAATCACCTATATAATATATAGACAGTATTACAGTAATAGCATTCTGTCGATTAGTTAAGATAAGATATCTGTAATATAGTTATACTAGTATAACTGGCAGGTTATAGAGCATCTGTGCAATATTGAAGTTATATAGAGAAATGCAAACCAGCATTGAATAGTGCAAATTCAAAATAAGTTTTCATAGCTGTATAAATCTGTAAACTGAAAAGCCAAAGCCTACTTAAAAAGATCCAAGTAGAGAGATAGCACAAATCTTTAACAGTACTATTGTAAAGACTAGACCTAGAAAACAAATATTAATGTAAAAAAAATTGGGCAGACAAGAACTTCAGATAAAGGTACTACTAACCAGTTTACTAAAAGTCTTGAACTAAAGAAAAAAGACCTTGAACAGCAGACTCTAAGATATTAAAGACAGGTCATAGTCCTTCTGAACTATTTGAATTGAAAGTCTGAAGTCAAAAACAGAAATATATTATAAATATTAGAGATATGCTGTGAAGTTGGTGCTGGGTTCTAAGTGAACTTTGCAAGAATAAGCTCTGTTAACAAGAAACTAAATATGGGTAATTAGTTAGCAAAAAGGCCTTTTGAAGTCCTATAATTAGATGATGTACTCTGAAATGTGTAATGGCTTGATGAACATATAGACAGAAAGGTCAAGATTAGGTTAGATAGCATTTTAGTATATAGAAACTTGTACACTATTTGTCAGTTTAAGTATAAGAATCAGAGTGTTTAAATAAGTAATCTTCTAGTAGATTGCAGATATGACAACTAGTATAAAATCTGTTATGCAGGCAGACTACTTAAAATAGACAACCAAAAGTTGTATGTATAGCTAGTTGTAGACTTACCTTGTACAAATTATGTAACTATAATTAAAAATATAATAAAGCAATAGCTACTAATAACTATGGCCTTAGCCAAAGCAAAAAAATAATAATAATAATTCTAAATAATATTACAAAAATTTTTAAAAAAAGAATATACTAATTTGTCTTTTAGGTAATATAATTTAATCATATAATAATATTAGTCAATATTATTTTTTATATAACTAATATATAATTAATAATT